AGACCTAATATTTACTTTGACCTCATCTTTAACCTACATCCTACTTGTATTCCATCTCCCTTTTCTATTTTTTAAAATTCATTTTGGTCTTCTTTTTTGTTTTTTTCTTAACCATGATTTCAAACTACAATTTTTTTTAATCTCCGACACATTTTCTTAATCCATCGACCAAATAACCGCACATCTAAGTAATTTTTATTTTAAAATTTAATATATTTTATTTTATGGTTGAAATTATTTCAAATAATTTTATTTGTTAATATTCAAAATGAGCATAAAAAAATTAAAAACATCAAGCCAAACATGTTAGCTATCTTGTTTTTTTTTCTCTACTATTAGTTAGATTATTATTATTATATATTTATTTCAATATTAGGTAAAAGTAAAATATATTAAAAAAACTTTAAAATTAATATGCTTAGTTTTCAATGACATAGGTGAATTACCAAGAAGAATAAACCAATCACTAAAAGATTCTCTAGTCAAAGAACAACTAGTCGAATCTGAATCAGACCAAGCATAAAATTGTAAATCACAATCAACACTTAACAAAAATCCTTGTTCATGATTAGTCTTTAAAAACACACATGTAGGGCAACATCTCAATGTTCCTATCGAGGATGTTGCATGAACTGTACAAGTGTATGCACACCATGTTAAGTGCAGAAGTAATTATATTTTTAGCAGTGCAATCATTTTGAACTTTTTTCTTTTCCTCATCATTTAAGCTGGACCATTCTTTTTCTGTAATTAAAGGATCATTAGCAATTACATCCCAAACATTTCTATCAATAGACTCAATAAAGATCTTCATCCTAATTTTCCAAAAAGGATAATCTGTTCCACAAAACAGTGGAGGTCTGTTAATAAAAGCTCCCTCAGAAAACGGTAATCTGTTTTCAGCCATGGATCGAAAAACTTGAATAACTTTCAAGCACCTCGCTCTGATACCAATTGTTAGAAAAGTAGGCTGAGATCAACAGGGGGTGAATTGATCTTTAAAAGTTTTTCGCAAATAACAGATTATCTAATTCAAAAATTAAGATTTCAGATCTGTTCTTGAATTACAAAGTAATCAATCAATATAAATGAAGCGACAGAATTAAAAGGAGAGAAATGTTAAGAAAGATATCACCGGTGTTTTATACTGGTTCACCCAATACCAGTGCTACGTCCAGTCTCCAGCCAAATTCCAGCTGGGTTCCACTAGATCAAATGTTTTAGAGATTTACAATCTTACACTTAATCTACCACAAGAACCAAATTCCAGTTCCTGCACTCAACCTCTCACCAAGAACCAAATTCCAGTTCTTGATAACCTCTACAACCAAATTCTAGCTGCAGAGAAACCAGTGCCCAAATTCCAGGCACCAAACAATACAAAAAGAATGTAAAGAAATGAAAAAGAAGAAACTAGAATGCTCAAACCAGTTTATGCAATTCTGTTGTAAGTGTTTCTTCTTCAAATGAAATCAAGTTGCCTCAAGAAAGATTTTCAAAGAACTTCTAAAAAAAAACTGACGCGAATCTTTCTTGAAAAAAGTGCTAAAGTTTGCTTGATTGCTCAAGGATGTGTAAAATGTGTTGTTCAATGTATGTTTAAAAAGTTTAAGCCAAACTGTTTTTATAGAAGATTTTCAAAACTGTTAGTTTAATTAATCTGTTAAAAGATTCTTTTAATATGTTATAAGTGCAGTTTAAATCTGTTAAAACTTCTTTTAATCCATTAATACGTTCTTGATTCTTTAACAGTTTTGTTTTGACTGATATGACAACGTTTATATCAATTAAAACACTTTACAAAAAATCTTCTAAGTTGATTTAATCGATTATTTCGCGATTCAATCGATTGAAATACTGCAAAATTTTCTTGTAAAACTTTTCAAGTTATTTTAACTGATAAAAATAAGTTTTAATCGATTAAAACGCTTTGTAGAAATTTTCTAAGTTGTTTTAATCGATTGAAACGAGATTTAATTGATTAAAAGATTTCTGATCGGTCATAACTCAATTCTGATCGATCATATCTGATTCTGATCGGTCATAATTGTATTCTGATCGATCATCCTGAACTCCAGGTGGTTTTAATCGATTAAAATCAAGTTGTATCGATTAAAATACTGCAAAAACATTTCTCTTAACATTTTGAGTGATTTTAATCGGTTATTTCAAAACTGTATCCGTTAAAAACTTGTTTACGAAAGCTTTTGTCAAAATACTTTGTGTTTTAACTTGTTTAAACGATTTTAGAGGCAGTTTGCAAAATCTTTTAAGTGAAGAAACCTCATGCAGTAGAAAAGATAAAATAATTATACCTAAGCATAGCTGAAGACACACTAATTCTTCTACTTCTTTTATCTTAGTGACTTGTTGACCGCTGCAAAGTTATTTTTGACTTCATCTTTGACTTCATCAAATCAATGCGATCTTTGCCAAAGTATTTTAATAAGATCTTCATCACTTTCAGACACAAAGATATTTTACGCGCTAATGTCAATTAGGTGGTCTATGGACTTTTGTTGCTCTACATAGTATTTTCGAATTAATATGTTTCATATTATGTCAATTTGAATTTGCTCGATCTATCTAATTGTGACCTTATAATCTTGTCTTTTATTGTTAGCCAAGTTTAATATATATACACAAAATTTATTATTCTTTAATCTTACATAACAGTTATTTCTAAATAAAATCTGTACATATTATCATAATTACAACATATATAATATAAAAAAAAACTATCAAGGTATCTCAATAAATTTCATTAGGATGAATGAACAAATATTCAACTCATGATTACATAATACTTTCTTAATGATTTTTAAATAAATTTTAAATTAATATAAAATAGGACTCAATCACAATTTTAATATTGTACCACTTTATTTAAGGCAAGTGGGTAATGGATTTATTATGCCAAACATTAGAAAAGAATTTGAGTCGTATCACATACATAAGTGAAGGTATTTTCAAATGAAAACACGGAGAAAGTCTATATCTTACATTATTCAAATGAAAATATGTGTTTTCAAATAAAAACACATTTATTTCATGTTAACGGGAGAAAAATAGTTTACAGTATTTAAAACACCTATGAAAAAATATATTTAAATGTTAAAATACAAATTCTCTAATTTTTTTCTCTCTATCATATAACTTGGATTGAATGAATTGATGAGATTATTTTGATTTTTTTAGAGTAAATCAAATTTTCTACAATCTTATTAAAAAAATATTCAACACTTAATTATATTGAAACTCTTGTAAGTTTTGTATTTTTATTCTTTATTTCACTATTGTGCTAAAGTATCAACTAATATTTACTTTCCTCAAATTTTGTTTTATTAGCCTTATCTTTCATCTACTTGTATTACCTTACTTCCCTTTTCCTTTTCCATTTTTTTTAGTTCATGGGCGAACTAACCACATGAACAAGTGATCTTTCATTTCAATAATTAATAAATTTGATTTGCATGGCTGAAATTATTTCAAATATTTTTTTTGTTAATATTCAAAATGAGGATAAAAAAACTAAAATCATCACACCAAAACACGCGTTTGCTAGCTTTTTTTTCTACTAGATTCTTTATCATCATATATTTATTTCTATATTAAATAAAAATATAAAAAAAGCTTAATTTTTTTAAAATTTAAATTTTTAAATTCTTCCAAAATTTAATTTAATATATATATATATATATATTTATAAGTTTGATAAAATGAATTGAAAAATGATAAATTACGGGAAGAATATAAATTAAAAAATGAGATACATGACCAAAGAAAATATATAACTTGTTAACATGTTACAAAATTTCTTAATCGAATAATAATAATAATAATAAGATGTAATGAACTTACTGATAGAAATATTGGACTTTGTAGAAAGGAGAGACATTTTCAATACTAAAAATTGTGGAATTTCTTAAAATAGTGGAATTTCTAAAAAGATATTACTATTTTTATTAAGGTTGATGAAGAAGTATTCAAATTTTTTCTATTAATCGAATAATAATTGTAAATTAAATTTTCAACTTTCTGAATAATATACTTTTCATCTGTTGATACGTAATAAATGTGGCAACTTTATATAAACTCACATACAACATCTTTTCAACGTAAATAAAAGAAATAATAATAATAATAATATTTTATTAATAATGAATATTAAATTTTATTACATAAAAAATAAAATTTAAAATAAAAATTATTAGAATAAATTACTTGATTTTCGCGTATCATGTACTAATAATTTAATAACAATAATTGAAAGAGTTTTAAAATTACGTTAAACGAGTTGTAAGATTATAAAAAGATATAAGCCCAACCATTTCTTGAAAAATGAAAAATAATATCAAATAACGTAATGAACAATATAAGAGATATTGTGGTAATAGAAAATTAAAAACCATACATACATATATATATATATATATATATATATATATATATATATATATATATATATATATATATATAACTTAGAATCAAACTTTTGAAGAAAAATAAATCAAAATTAGGATCATCATTTAAATTTTTATGATTATTTGATAAAGTATTCAATTGAAATAAAATGTTTTCATGATGTAGTTTATAATATAAAAACAATTATTTTTAATTTACTTGACACAAAAACGGATATGTTTTTTTAAAGAGAAAATCTGTGGGCTTATTTATATCTTGTTTGACAAGAAATAGTTTTGGGAAAACATAAAGTGAACAACGTGTGCTTGTGCATAACCTCAATCTCAAAGCCTAATTGTATTGTGAAAGAGAGAAGAAGACAACGACGTCGTATCCAGATTTGTAAGTGAATGTTTTATCATTTTGTATTGTTGGACAAAGAGAAAGGCTATGCCAACCTTCTTTACAGAGTCTAATATGCGACCCAGATTACTCTGTTTTAAATATTCTTAGCTTCAGATCTGTTCGATTCATATTTCTTTCTTTCTTTCTTAAAATTGTTTAGTTCGACCAAGAAACCGTTTCTAACCGGAAGCATGAATCTTTCGAAGATTGCGCGCGCCGTGTCGCGATCGTCTCGTGTTAGAGTATGTTTTCACTTTCCCTTCAGTTCATTTTCTTTTTCATAACCACGCATAAAGAATCTAATGTTTATGCTAATTTTAATCGGGGTGACAGGATTTATTACACGGTAATGGGACATTGGGAACCATTACAGGAATACCACGGACGAATTCGTGTTCTGATGGAGTGGAATCAGTATTAGGGTTTGTTCGGAGCTACGTTTCTTCAGCCAGAGCTCGCAGTAACGGCATCTTTTCCAATTTTCCTGATTTTAAATTTGTTGTTGCAAACCCTAGGACTCGCCGATTGTTCTCCAGTGAAGCCCCAAAGAAAAAGAGTGAGTTTTATATCGGCATGACTTTGTGATTGAAACTGCTTCAAAGAACTCAGTTCTTGATTTGTTTGGCAGATTATGAAAAGTTTTATCCCAAAGAAAAGAAGGAAGTTCCGAAGGGAAATGACAAAAAATACGAGTCTAAAGGTAAACAAAATTTCTTGTGTACACCCTATTATCTTCTGAATAAGGAAGCCGACAAATTCTTCTCGTCCATGGACAGGCTCTATTTTCTGTTTCAAACTTCAACTACAACTTTGTGTATGGGGCATTTTTGGTTTTGAAAATTCCAATCCCAAAATATGCTCTATTTCTCTCAGTGTCCTAACTGAACTTGGGGATCTGTATCTTATTTTGTTCAAGAATTAATCATATAACTGCGTTTCAGTTTATCGAAAGGGTACCACTAACAACTTTTAATGCTTGAATTCTTCATTTAACTTCAGATAACTCGAACACAGATGGTCGTGGAAATTTTCAGGAAGCTTTCATGAAGCAAGTTCAAAAACTAATCACCCCGTTGTTGGTTATGGGGCTGTTTCTTTCATCCTTTTCTTTAGGTCCTCGTGAACAGCAGGAGGTAATGACAACTTCTTTGTATTTGCTGGACCCGTCTTTGTTTCGATTTTTGTGAGGGTGAAGTTGGGTTAAGAACTCAATACATTTTATATGATTAAGATGAATGCAATGGTCGCATAAGAGGTAAACATTGTACCATTTAAGTCCTCAATTATCCCGATTTTATTGGTGAAGGGGGGAAAAATGGAAACATAAGGAATATTTTTAGATACAATATTTGAATTCTGTATTGTGTATCAATACTGCATTTGCTGAGCCCGTCATCTAGTTCTTTCTTAGGCATCACTCTACAATTTCTTCTCTTTTTGCTTGCCCTCTGTGTGACTTACTCTACTCCCCTCCCTTTTAAGTTATTTTATATTAATTGATTAAATTGAATTCATGTTAGTTAGTAATTAAATTTTTTCTTCTGCCATATGATTGATAATGTGTGTATATGTGATGTGTATATCTGAAAGATGAGCATTATGCTGCTGCAATTGACTGCTTAGACTGTAGCTCTCTTGAACAAGAACTCTATTAGAATTGGCTTTCATACCCATTCTATTCTAGCATCTAGTTGCAAGTCTTAACTGGATTGGTTTTTGAGCAATGCTTCATATTTTTCTAGATTGGGTGTCTTTGCATTATTAATAGGATGTGATTCCAACTACATTCCTTTCGTTTTTTTTTATTTATCTGAATGACATTGACCAAAATTTGATTCTTTGCAGATTAGCTTTCAGGAGTTTAAAAATAAGCTTTTGGAACCAGGATTAGTAGACCATATTGTTGTCTCAAATAAATCAATTGCCAAAGTATATGTAAGAAAGTCTCCCCGCAACCAAAAAGATAGTGAAGAAGTCCACGAGACCCTGCCTGCAAAGGGATCTGAAAGCCAGTATAAATATTATTTTAATATTGGAAGTGTTGAGTCTTTTGAGGAGAAGGTAGAGGAAGCGCAAGAAGCCCTTGGCATTGACTCTCATGATTTTGTGCCTGTAACATATTCTTCTGATCCGGATTGGCTCAGGGAACTGATTGTATTTTCTCCAATATTGATCGGTATGGGAATTCTCTATTATTTTGGAAAGAAAATTCAAGGTGGACTTGATGTTGGTGGCGGTGGCGGTGGTATGGGTGCTCGTGGAATATTCAAAATAGGAAAAGCGCATGTTACTAAAGTAGACAAAAATACTAAAAATAAGGTTGGTAGATTTCTTTTCCTTCTATCAATGACATGTTTTTTGTCCATTTTTATATAGCATGTTCATTTTTAATTATTTCCTCTGGGGGAGGAGTGCTGATGAGTCACTTGACGGTAAGTTTCATTTAAGAAGCAATATTTACCTTTCCTTTTTTGTTTTATTTTGTTTAGATCTATTTTAAAGATGTTGCTGGCTGTGATGAGGCAAAGCTAGAAATTATGGAGTTTGTCCACTTCCTTAAGAACCCAAAGAAATATGAAGAACTTGGTGCAAAAATTCCCAAAGGTGCTCTCTTGGTGGGTCCTCCAGGTACAGGAAAAACACTTTTAGCGAAAGCTACTGCAGGGGAGTCTGATGTGCCATTTCTTTCTATATCTGGTTCTGATTTCATGGAAATGTTTGTTGGCGTTGGACCATCAAGGGTGAGAAACTTGTTTCAGGAAGCGAGGCAATGTGCTCCTAGTATAATATTTATTGATGAGATTGATGCAATTGGTCGAGCAAGGGGGCGTGGTGGTTTTTCTGGTGCAAATGATGAGCGTGAAAGTACATTGAATCAATTGTTGGTGGAGATGGATGGTTTTGGAACCACTTCTGGAGTTGTTGTGTTGGCAGGAACAAATAGGCCTGATATCTTAGACAAAGCTCTTCTTAGACCTGGGCGATTTGACCGCCAAATAGCAATTGACAAACCTGATATTAAAGGTCGGGATCAGATATTTCAGATCTACTTGAAGAAGATCAAACTTGACCATGAACCTTCATATTATTCTCAAAGGCTTGCAGCCCTTACTCCTGGATTTGCTGGAGCAGACATTGCTAATGTCTGCAATGAAGCGGCTCTGATTGCTGCAAGAAATGAAGTGACACAAGTCACCATGGACCACTTCGAGGCAGCCATTGATAGGATCATTGGTGGTTTGGAAAAGAAGAACAAGGTATATTTTTTAAAATTTTTATATTCCTATTAGGTAGGCTTGTGAATGGGTGGAGTTGGATGTTTAAGTTTATAAAAATAAAAATTTTGCATATTATAGGAAGCAGAACGAAGATATAAGAGTGCTGATGGAACCAGTCGTTGTTTTTTCTCATATTTCTAAGTTGTTTTAATTTAAATTTAATATATCATCTTAAATTTCATCTACAGAATGAAAATGTTTGTATTTCTTCGTGTTGTCATCGATATACATGTAATAGGAAGACAATGAAAGAGGAGAAAAGTTTTGAAGGTTTGATCTTGTAAAATATCTTTCTTTTATATGTAATTATTTAAATACGTGTATAATCCTGTATATTTTATTTGTTTATGTAATAAATGTGCTAATGATATGATATTTCTAGAACCTGAGACTAAACAAGGTGAATTAAATTAGTTAGTTTTCTCTTAATTCATTGTGAAGATACTTTGATTTCCTTCCTACTATAGGGTGTGTAAAAGCTTAAGCTTTTCTTATCACCTGAATTAAGACATGTTGCATAAAGCTTATCCAGCCAAAGTTGCATTTAATGAATTTGAATAATATGATGTAAGCTGAATCCTTTTCATTTTTATGTTTGAAAGGACCGTCTGATACACTCGGGATCCTTTTGTCTATAGAATATTTTATCATAGGATGTTGTTGTAAGTTAGAAGTTCGTGATGTTGGAGCTGATATGCTACTTCGAATTGAAAATTTTAAACTAAATGGGATTTGAAACGCTCTCTGCCTTTTCCATTATTCTTTAGAGTTTTTCTAATGCCTATCTTCCGAACCAGGTAATAAGCAAGGCGGAAAGGCGTACTGTTGCTTACCATGAATCAGGCCATGCTGTTGCAGGTTGGTTCTTGGAACACGCATCGCCCTTATTAAAAGTGACTATCGTTCCACGTGGCTCAGCAGCACTTGGATTTGCACAGTATGTTCCAAACGAAAACCTTCTCATGACAAAAGAGCAGCTTTTTGACATGACTTGCATGACACTCGGTGGTCGGGCTGCTGAGCAGGTAGTTTTGACATTAATTTGAAATTTCTTTCTCTCTTCTGTTTCCCTCCTATGATTTTTGCTGTATGGCTATATCTTTCTATTGAAATAATTTTATGTGGTTTGGTGCATTTATCCCAGGTTTAAATCTTATTACCTTTTTTAATGTTGTCTAATGGTTTTCCTTATCTGATACTTGTAAACACGAAAGGCATGAAAATGATGATTCCCTCCTTTTTTGTCACTGCAGGTTCTTATAGGAAGAATATCAACAGGGGCACAAAATGACTTAGAAAAAGTTACCAAGATGACATATGCCCAAGTAGCAGTTTATGGTTTCAGCGATAAAGTTGGTCTCCTCTCGTTCCCTTCAAGAGAAGACTCATTTGAGATGTCCAAACCATACAGCAGTGAAACTGCCGCCATCATCGATAGCGAAGTGCGCGATTGGGTAAACGAAGCATACAAACGAACGGTACAACTCATTGAGGAACACAAGAAACAAGTTTCTGAAATTGCTGAGTTGTTGCTTGAAAAAGAAGTACTTCATCAGGATGACTTGCTTCGAATTTTGGGTGAGCGACCATTCAAGTCTACTGAACCCGCTAATTATGATATTTTTAAGCAAGGCTTTCAAGAAGAGGAGGAAAAAGTAGAAGAAAGTACCATCGTAGATGTGCCTGAGGAAGGTGGCGGATCTTCACCGTTAGAGCCCCAAGTGGTTCCCACATAACTATCAAATATATTTTTGTTATTGTACATGACGTTGTTGTTTCATCAAGTGTTTACAGGGACACAAACAAAACTAATATGGTGACATTACTGAATAAATATCTATTTTTTATTTTTGATATATATGGATATATGCATCGGTATTGAACTCTGGAGGTCACTTGGTCAAACTTGGGTTTGAGATCGAGTTGGTTAGTCTTATAAATATAAGAGCTCTTACCTTAGAAATGATGTTATTCTTCATCAATGGTCACAATATTTATATCCAAATTACGAAAATGTCACTACTGATTTTCAGCAATCAAATAACTGAAAACAAAGAAATTAGTTCTAAAACTATTAGATTTTATTTCCTAAGTAATACTTAGAAATTCTCCTAGTTTCTAGTAACATTTAGAAATTTTATTTCAAACTTACTTAACATTGCCTCTCTGAATTATGGTATTTAGTTTACATCAACAAGTCTTCTAAATCGAGTGGCTTGTTCATGACATCAGTTATTTGTTCCTCCTCTGAAAAGCAATGTTCCAGTTCAATTGATTTACTTTAGATAAGATTTCTTAAGAAGTGGAAATGTACATTTATTTCTTTCATGTATGATTGGATTCTTGGACAATTTTATAGTAGAACTATTGTTATTCTTCCTACTGCATTTAGTAATCCAGCTACACAAGAGTTTTTTTAGCTGCTATAAATTCAACTTCAGTTGTTAAAAGGCTCACTAATCACTTCTTTGAATTCTATGAGATAGCTGTCAGACTCATCATAAAAACATATCTAGATGTACTATTTCTAGCTTATAAGTTCTTTTCTTCCACTCCTCTTTTAGAACAACCTAAAGTCAATATCTTTGACGTAACACAAAATTCTGTTAGCAGACAAAGTTTGAGAAATGTAAGCTTAAGTCCGCATTTAATAATAAAGAAGTTTTAACAATATATAAATTTATATTTTTATAAATTTTATTTGTATTATAAAAGATAAAAAATTTATTTGTATTTATTGAATATAGAGGAAATAGGGTTTATAAAGAATATCTTAACAATATCAAACTATATCTAACAATATTATAAAAGATAAAATAAGAAAGTGAAAATAAATATAATGTAATATAATATTATCTTGAAATAATATAAAAATTTATATTTTCAATTTCATTAATATATTTCATTTTATTTTATGGTGGGAAGATTTGAATTTATCTTGTAGTGATTAATTAGTCCCTATATCTATTAATTTGAATTTTTAATTATAATATAATCAAATATTCATGAAAATATATTGTTCTTTACGAAAAATAAAAAAAATTAAATATAAATTAATAAAGAGGATTAATATATAAATTAATATAAATAAATAAATATAAAAGAGAACCTATTTAATTAAAAATAAATATATATATATATATATATAAATTAATGTGTAAGTAAAGATCAATTAAATAAATAATCAATACATAATTAAAAATAAAAAATATGTATATATATAATAGAAAATTAATATATAATTAGTGATAAAATAAATAAATAAATAAATATAAAAAAGTAATATTTTTTTAAAGATAAATTAAATATAAAGAAATAATAAAACGAAGATATAAACATCTCACTAATCATAATTATAAATATAGAATGATAAATTCTTCTCTTACTTTATTTAGATGATACATCGAAAATTAACTGTGATTATATATTTTGTTTTTCTTTCTTTTTCTTTTTGTTTCTCTTCTTTATCTTTTTTTTTTCTCTTCGTTATCTTTCTCTCTAGCCGATTCTCCTTCTCTTTCTCCTCTTCTCAAATTTTCTACTCCATAACTCATTTTTATACTTAAAAATTACTTGATATTTTTAGTTATTTTTAAATCTTATATTAAATATATTTTATGACAATTTTAAGAGATAAGTCAATTTTAACTCATCATTTTATTTTTACTTTTAAAAGTTATATATATAATTTAATAATTAATTTTGTATTTTAAAAGTTAAATAATAATAATATTTTTTATATATATAAATAAATGATTTTTTTTATTATAAAATATTTAAATTATTCCATAAATATTATGATTTAATACATTATATTTAAAAAAATTGCATAATAAATTTTCCATTGTACCATACCACACCGCGAGAAAAATAAACACTAAATGTTTTATTTTTCAATACTTGACCCCACTTGACTCTTTATTGTTTTTGCATCATATTATTGATACGTAAAATGTGATTACATGAAACTAAATTCACAACTTTTATTATTTTTATTATGAAATATATATATATATATATATATATATATATATATATATATATATTTGTGGAAAGAATAGAATTTATTTTTTTAAAATAGTTATTCATACAAAACATATTTATTGAGAAAATAAAATGTTATTACATATGGATTTTATATATTTCATAAATTTTGTCATATATAGCAATAAATTATTTAAGGAAAGACATCTCTTATTCTTGTTGTTATTAATATAATAATCACAGTCAATAATATATAAATTATAAATCTTATAAATTTTGTTACAAACAACAAATATTTAATAAATAGCATAACCAACAAAATCTTTGTGTTATTAGATATGAGAAAAAGATGTAAAATAACTACTAACTCAACTGGTTCTAAAACAAAATTTTAAGGCTTGTATTGTAGTGTAAAAATATTCTCAATTAATTAAAAAATACTTTTAAGATTTATTTAGATAAATTTTTCAAAAACAGATAGAAAAGTTAGAAAATTAAATTAAATAATTTTTTCTCTCATAAATTAACATTATCTATATTATATACAATGATATTTCCTTTTTTAATCATTTTGGTTTAATCGGAGAGATAAAAAAATATGATTTATGATCTATACTACATAAAGTAGGTTTTATGTTCTATAACCATTTTAGTTTCATTGATAGATAAAAATATCATATATAATGAATAAGATGATATAAGGTAATTGAAAAAGAAAAAAGAAATTAGAATAATTTTTAAAAAAATCATTGCTGCATTTGAAGAAAGAGAAAAAAAAAACAATGAGAATAGTAAAAAAAAAAAAGTGGAACACATAAAATATAAATAGAAAACGTGATACATATATATTAAAAATTAATAGTATAAAAAATATGGACACACTTACATATTTATATATTTTAAAATTAACAATTAATTAAATAAAGGTTGAAATATAGGAATTGAAACAAAGCTTGCCATATATAAAAGAATAAAAATTATATTTAATATTGTATTATAAATTTATTTATTGGTAAATTTTTTAGATTTCATAAAGTGGATCAAAAGAGTAATAAAAAAACGGATAGAGATAGTATAGTAGATGTAAAATAGGTTCTTCATTTTTCAAGTCATTTAATCGAAATCCTAAAATTTATTTTTGTAATAAATATATATGTTAATATTATCACTTAGATAATAAAGTTTTGAAAACTGGAACTAATATGATTAAAAAACTATTTGTTGAAAACTTTTTTAAAATTTTATTTATAGTTTCAGAAGTATTTTTGTCAAATATTGAAAATTCAGGTTTGGACTAAATGTATATAAAATAAAACTGTCATAAATTAAAATTTAATAATGTCTAAATTTAAATAACATTTTAGTAACTAATATGAAAACAATTATATTTGATTTTGTGAATTTTTTTTATATACAAATACTTATATGAAAAAATTTATCGGGACGTATATAACTAAAATAATATAATTAAGGTACATAATATATTTATTTAAAGTTTCTTCAAAAGAAAATAGGAACAAAGTAATCAATATAAGAGACATGCAAAAATTGTTAAGTTTTACTTGACATAAAACTAAAGATAAGATATAAACAATTGATTAAACATGTAATAGAATAAAAATAAATATCATGTATAATAATTAAGAAATATTAAAACATATGTACAAATGTTATTATTAGTGTTATAACATTTTAAATAGTATCATAGCTAAAATATTATATTATAATTATATATTCAACTATAAATTATTAATAATTTGTATTATTATTGAAATATTTAAATGGCTTAATAAATTTTTATTGTAATTTAATACTTTTATAACATGGTGATAATACGTAAGAAATAAAACGATGATTAAAAATAATATTAAAAGAGTTTTTATTATCATAATATAATTGTCCGTCAATTTTTCAACATTGATTAGTAACTTCGACCTAACACAAAATACTATGAGAATATAAAAAAATACTTACATATCTAAAAAATAAAACGAAAAAAACTCTAAAAATTATATTTTAAGTTGGATAAAAAATATTTAAAATATTCATTACATCTTTTTGTAAATGGGAGAGTTACTGACAGAGAATGAAAACTTTCTCATATTGTTGATGTATGAAAATTGTGACGTTTATATACACTGAGAATAGAAGTAACCGACTAAACAGAAAACACTAAAATAAATCCTATGCACGTAACCATGCCCTATGCATATGCTCGTACATTTTGAGTTAAATCTCGACATGCCTCCTTAAGTCAAAACCGAACAATTCTCAGAGAATCTCTGAGTTTACAAAATCTAGCAGTCTTCAAAGGCTTTGTAAAGATATCTGCACTCTGATCTTCTGTGCTGCAGTGCTCTACTTCAAACTTCTTATCATTAATTTGCTCTCTCAAGAAATGAAACCTCATTTCTATATGTTTACTTTTTCCATGAGCTGATGGGTGTTTAGCTAAGTCTATTGCAGACTTATTATCAACAAACAGTGTTGGTTGTTGGATCAATTCTGCATTCAGCTCCTTCAACAGCATCCTAAGCCATGCGGCTTGACACGCAGCCTGTGCAGCACCTATATACTCTGCTTCACAGGAGGAGAGAGCCACCACGGGTTCCTTGACTGAATTCCAGGACACTGGTCCTTCGCCATAGTAAAATATGTGACCTGCAGTGCTTTTCCTATCTTCCCTGTCACCACACCAATCTGTATATGCAAATCCCACCAATTTCATCTCACCCCCTGGCTTCTTGCATGG